TTCAATGGGGGTATTTTCAAGAAGCTTGCTTTTCATGAAACATTCTTAGTGAAAAACTTGATTTTCCAACCAACTATAATAGCAATCGTAATGTTAAAGTAGGAGTCATTCTGGACACAAAGAGCATGAATAAACGAACAGCAGTTTGGCTTAGTCGGTGGACCAGACTCAGCCATGATGTGAGCAAGAGCTTGTTAACTTCACTGAAAAAGGCACCGGAAGATAGCAGTGAAACAAAGAGAAAAGTAAATGAGAACCCAGAAGGACGTGGCAGATTGCCAGTATGAGATGGAGTGTAAATCCAAGTTTACATAAGGCTAAATAAAAGAGTGAAGATCAAAAGGAAATTTTTCCCAAGCTGTCTTCAAGGTGAGGTGCTGAAAAGCATTTCTTGTTTTGATAGTAATAATAATAACAACAACTTTACTCCAGCAACTACAAAAAAAAGCCATTAAGAAGACCTGGGGGAAAAGGGGAAAGACTTAACATCTTGCCTGATTTAGAACCTAGTAAATCAAACTATAAAGAAAGCAATTAGGATAATTTCACTCTTCCTTTCAGACTTGTCTATACAATGATTACAAAGACACTGGGCCAAATATATTTCCAGTGCAAACGGGAATAACCTTCACTATCTCCAGTTCAAATTATACTGAATTATGTCATTAATTACACTGATCCTGAAATTGCTATCAGTCATATGCACAAGGACCTTACACAGCTAAGTAAAAGAGCTATTAAAATTTCAGAAAGGAAGGTTGTTCTTATTAAAATCTGTTCAAACACGTAGATTTTAGCATTAACGTTTTACTACAGGCTCTAATTTACTCTGCAAACACATCATTCATTGTCTCTCCACAGTGACATGTATTCTCAGACAATACAAATTCAGAATTTGGCTTTGACATTTATCTTATGAGCAAACTCTACGATCATTGGCTATGAGCAGGATGTCAAGGTTAGTTCTTTTTGGCTCACATTTCTCCAGCACTGATATAAAGCCTGCAATATAAATTTTGTTTGCTCAATAGTACATATCCATTTGTTCTGCCAAAGCAGCACCATGTGAATAATGTTAAGAAGAGCAGAAAGCACTGAAAATTTTATCTTTGAAATAAGCACACATCATCTATTTAATACTTCTGATATTACACAGAAACAAAGACATCCTATCGAACACTGCTGGTGCATGGTGAAAAGGATAAAATGGTAATGATACAAGATAGTGTTTTGGAGCATTTGCAGGAGTGATGCAGAAAGACACATCCAAACTCTTGGAGACCTGCAGTGCTATGGAAAAGATTGAGGAGTCAATCTACACATACAATAATAATTAACAGAAACAAACTGTTCATAGAGGTGCTTCTAGAGTTTGGACATATTTGGACTCAAGACCCCTCACAAGGTTTGTTAGGCCAGCAGAGGTGTACTGAAAGGAGGAATAAGAGAGCCTAGGGGCAGTAATCTTGTAAGCAAGTAATCTTTTATTTTGTCAGAGTGGGCTCTGCAAGAGGAAATCTGATCATGATCTTGCATTAATATGGAGACCTTAGGCCTATGCAGTTTGCTTTGTCTCCCAAACTGGAATATGCTGCATCAGTGTTAACACTTACATTTTAATGCATTTCTACGTGTTCCGCCATGGGAAGTCATCTTTCCTATAGATGCAGAAACAAAGTGAGGAGGTTTTCATTCTTATGGGCAGAACACCCAACAAAAAAAGCAAGTTAATGGGCACAGATCAGATGTTTGACTGTCATCAATCCATTACCCTAGAAAACTAACATAGTAATGAATAAAACTTGTAAGTAATAAAATGCAGCTAAACATAGAGAGCAGCTTGCACATAAAGAACCCAGTACTATTCATTACCTTCCTTCACATTCACTGTGCTAAGTGTAACTAGCTGCATTTTCTAAACCCCTAGTGCTGAAGATAAAAACATCCAAATTTATTTTGTAATGACAGTTACAGACTCAGGAGTCCCATGTATAGCATGAGGCAGCATCTTTGCAAAACTTCATGGTACTGCAGGACCCCACTGTCCAGGATAACCTAGATAATATTATTACCACTTTTATGTAAAACACACTCATGAGGTCTACACTCATTTGTTACCGGATGCTGGTGAGGTGATGATAAGGAAAGAAAAGGATTCTTACATATTTATAAGGTCCAAACAATTAGCAAATCTCCAGTCCCAGAGCCCAGACCCAGCAAGACCATATGGAAAAAAGAAAAAGCACATAATCATACATCAGATAATAATCTTGTGAGAGAAAACTACTAGGATTACAAGAGGAATCAATGCACTTGTAATTAAAAAAATGTCAGCTCTAACAAATGTTCACTCCTCTAAGTTCAGTAAACAAGGCTGGAAGGGATCTACCAGATTAGCCCTGCCTCCCATAACACAACCGTTTAGATAGTGAAGCTTTGGCCCAGAAGGACAGACAGAGCATCTGCTATATGCACTCTCACACAGAATCACATTTCACTGCCCTCTGTCAGTTTAAGGCCTCCAGCATTACCTGAAGGAAACCAAAGTACTAGAGGAGATCAAGGGTTTCACTGGTCTACTAGCCCTAGTAGCCACCTCTGGCAGCAACGTTAAGGGTTCTCAGGTAAAAATCTGTAGGTCACTTCTGGAAACAGAGTAGATCCTGGGGAAGGTCCCTTAAAGCTGATGCCTGCAAAAAGCAGAGTTCCACAAGTTACAACTCCAGTACCTTTTGTTAGCTGTGAGCTTGAGAAACCTGTTTGTATAAATACTGAAGTGTGCCCATTTATTTCTGGGAAGTACACGTAAAAATTAACGTTCACTATAGACACTTGCAATAAATTCCCAAAGACTGGTGGGATTTGTACCATTGCCTCCACAAACACAGTCATCTGCAAAAAGGGTTAAGCCACACACCATGCTCATCATCTCCACAATGGCCAACTGCAACCTTATAGCTGCTCTAGGCTTAAGTTCACAGTGAACTGTAATTGAAAGAAAAAAATCTATACTATCAACAGACTTCTGTTTGAAAAGCCTCTACTGTCTGTCTACAAAGCATACAAACTTAATACAACTGAAGAAAAATCACCACTCGGTGACATAGGCAGCTTTGCTGGAACAGGAGAGGAAACAAAGAAAGACTACTTTTTCTAGCAGCAGTTTTGATTTGAAGGACGGCTGAATTACAACATCAAGTAGCAACAATCTGAGATCTTTCACACTTCCAACTCAAAATCACTTTTAGAAAGTCATGAACGAATGATAGTGAAATGTTCTCGTTAATGTCTTATCCTCAAGTTCTATAGCATGAACAGTAAATAGAAGGATCCAGATTAAAAATACATGAAATACACATTCCAAAATCCACTACAAAATCCAATATGATCTGTTTCCTAAAAGGAAAAAGAAACTGAGTGAGCAGCCTGTGTACAAAAGCCTTCCCTTTACATTATGAGACGTGCATATCCTCAAGAAACTTCTGAAATCAAGAGCACTTGATGGCTGCCAAAGGAGAAATAATAAATTAGTCAGGATAGGTGCCAACATTTGCTAACATGCACACACAAATCTGTCAGTTGTCTCAACTTCTTTGGTCTTTTTTAGTAAATGATATCATTTGCAAACATCTCTGACAAACTCTTTAATTCCTTATGTACCATTTATATTACTATTTAGGTGCGCCTTCACTATGACACAAAGGAGAAAACTACATCTTGTTAGCAAGTTTGAAATTCAATCATATAAATCCAAATTTTAATATAAATTCTTAGGCTTCTCGATCACACAACCAAGATGCATAAGCAAATACAGCTTACAGTAGAAGCACGGACATGAGATGTCACCTGGGGAGGCGGCTGCCTGACAGAGGGTGGTGCATCTGGGTCCTTTCCCTTTCCTGAGGCTCACAGAGACCCAAGGTCCGAGGTATTTCAGGCTAAGCAGGCAGCTGGGAGTCCAAGCTTTAGTCTTCAGATTGCAAACACCATTTGATTCCTCCTTAATCTATGTTATATCAAATCATTTTTCCCCCACACCCACCAACCATTTAGCACATTCAGTTTTTCAGTTGGATTTGGATTCAATAGTTTGAAAAAAGGTGACATTTCCTGTGAAGCGTGGCAATTCCTGTTCCCATGAAGTGCAAGGGTAGCTTAACTCCCATCTCTACTTGCTATTTGAAGGTTGGAAAGAGCCGATGTTGCATTTTGCTTTCCACCTGGCTTATATAGCTGTGAGTCACACAAAAGCAGGTTAACAGTGGGATTGTTCCTTTTTTAGGTTAGAAGGCTGTGCAGAATGGCCCTGGGTCCTGCAGAGCAAGACCTAATTTTGTACACAAAGAATAAACGTCCCTGAAATCACCACTTAATGTCAAGTTAAATAGCATTTACATACCTTGAGGGATTTATATGTCTAGTACCTGGTAGTTCAAGCTTTCTTATCTAGCCCCTGTATTCAAGACACATGGGGAAAGATCAGCTGTGCACCCCTCTCTTCCTAAACAAGCAGCACTATGTCAACTGGTTGCTCACCTCAGAGACGTTTGAAGACAAAATACACAACATGAAATGGAGGTGGGTACAAATGATGATAACCTTACATAAATATATGCCTACAGAGAAAGACTGAAAATCTATAGCCATGACTTTGGAATAAACTCCAAGTAGGTTAATTTCAATCTTTCAAATTTCAAGAAATACATTGCTGGAAAATTATATCTAATAAAATGTATAACCCAACTAATTAATACTGTTGCTCATAAATTCTCACAGAAGCGACTCAGCAATCAAGTAAGTGCTGTAAATGTAGAGTGAGCAGTCTTTCTATAATTCATATCTGACAAAGCAGGTTAAAATATTTTAAGTGAAATTTGAACTGAGGAACTATTGCACAGTACATATTAAAACGTGTAAAAAACGCAGTCCCACAAGAATACTCTTACGATCAGACTGCAAAGTTTTGTGATATGTTTATTTTCAGCAGGAGAACACAGGAAATTCCACATCCAAGCAAAAAAAAAAAAAAGGCATATTTAAAATAGAAATTTTGCATCCTAAAATTATAACTAAATCTGGTACTCGCATGCATTCTTCGAGATCCTGCTATTATTTTTAAGAGCCTTATGTAAAACTCACAAGTATAACATTAACAGACCTGGGACTACTCAAAACTTGTAGCACTGAAGATCAGGAAACATTTGCTGCTGATGTATCAATCACATACTCATGAAAGCTCAATCGAAGCATGTCTTGGACTACACAGATTGTTTTGGTGCGGTTTTATTTTTAGTTCCCATTTGAAGCCCTATTTGAAACAGAGCCTAAGGAAGGACACGTCATTGTACAACCTTCACTAAAGAAATATCCACATCAGAGACAAAATTGTAATTGAACTCCTTTCTAGTAATCTATACAGAGGCAGAGGTCTAAAGGAAAACATAGATCAAACGACTTGGAAGTGGAAAATAACTACAGACATAAAATCAAAAGAGACTACAAAGTTAGGTGAACACAGAAGTGTAATAAAACCCTGTTATGAATATATGCTTTATGGATAAAATAATGACCTAGGGTATCCAATGTCAATGCTTGAATTTTTAATATTTTTTTTTAATAAGACTAAGATTACAGTGTTTTCCTAGGTCATCCACCCTTCCCTACTCTCATGCTCGGGATGTTGTATGGATTAAAATACTATCTGCCACATGCACCAAAAATGTTCTTAAGTTTTCTCAGTTTTGAAGTGCAGCACAAGAAGGTGGGTTCTTATGTAAAAATCACATCTTATAGATTAGGTTTAGAGACACAGCTTCTTGACCGTTCGTATGGAAAGCATCGGAGTTCTCAGTGCTGCAGCTGAACCAGGTATGACAACATATAGGAGTACCTCCTGGTAGGCAATGAAACCCCCTCAAGATCTAGGTTGGCTTAGTATGAAAATTTGATATTGAGAGGGGTGGAGATAGGTTGCAATGGTTCAGGGCCTATCCTTATATTCAGGTGAGGTGGTGATACAGGACAAGAGTGGGGAAGAAGACTAATGATAGACATCACTCCCACCCTGTCAAACACAGCCCATGGGCCACTGAGGTGAGCTTAATTTTAGGCTGAAAGTCTAACTCTCTGAAAGGTTTACAGACTTGTTAAGACCACAAGTGGCTGGCCAGCAGTGAACAATGGATGGGAGTTTCCCCTGACTAGCTTGACCACCTCTGCATTAGACTTCTGCTCTCCAGAGAGCCAGCGTGCTGCAGCTATAGCAAGCACTAGGGCCCACAGCCAGCTATTACTTCCACTAATGACATTTTTAGAGGGTGAAGACCTCATTGAATCCATTGACGTTGACCCATGGGGCTACGTTTTCTCTGTGCTGCTCACTGAATTAGGCAGGCAACTGCTATTAATGAAAACAGGAGAACTGTATATCCAGTTCCTAGCTCACAGGGCTGCTTACATACCCCATAATTTGAGAGAATTGTATCTTAAAGGCTACGCTGTGATAGAGAAATCACTCATGATGAAACAATGTTTAAGTGGTGGAAAAAAACCTTGGTTCTAATGTTAAATGAATTTCTCCAACACAGACTTTCAAACAAGGATTACAGGATGAACATTTCACACTTCAGGATACCTAATTTAAAATAACAGCTTATATCTTAGGCATTCTACCTTACTGAAATGATCAAGCCCTCTCTGTGAAGTGCCTGTCCCAGTTCATTTTGTCTGGAATGTGCTGCCCTGCTTAATCAAAATAAAACCTAAGACACCTACATTTACTTTTTTAGTGACTATAATGATTTTGAGTGGAATTTTTATGCTGCTTTTTGCAAGAAGAGGTGGCACCCATAAAAATACAAGTGACCTACCACCAGTGCCATTACTTTAATTGACATCTGTGAGCATACTTTCTTAGGTTGCATCAAGACAGACGAGGGCCCTTTGTGCCCTTCTGACAGTGATGGCAATCATTAAAGATTTACCAGGGTCATTAAAGTGAGAAATAGCAGTAATGCAGAGCTGAATACCACCATCCCGTGTGGATTCGACTGAAGTGCTAAGACAGAAAGCACAGAATTAGCCAAGATCTTGCACTGTTGGATAACCTTATCATAAAAAAAAAAAAGAAAATTAAAAAAAAAAATCACCAAATTGTCTAAAACACATTAAAGTAACACATTTCACTTATATGGGAGCTATTGCCAGTAGAGGCTTCCCTTTACATGAAAGCACTACTCACGCTTTCACATGGTACCAGCTACAAGGAGAGCTGGTGGGGAGACCCAGGGTCAGTGCATTAGTGTTTCTGTAGGATTCTCCCGGGACACTGCAGCAAATACAGCAGGAGGCAGCTTGTGGGCTACCCCCTCATAGTGCTGCACCCCCAGCACTAAGTGAGGACATGTAAAGAGAGACCTTGATGTGGGACCACTGGAGAAGCCCTGAGGAGAACCCGCTTCATGTTTACCAACTGCACACACGATCGGCCGCGGCGGTGTGGAGGATGTGTATAACAACCTGTTCTTGCCCTTCTGGGGAATCCTTGTAGAGAAACCAGCACAGTCCTGGCAGCACACTGATTTCAAGGAGAGAGGAATTACTACGAGTCAGTAGGTTGTTACCTTACAGCCCAGCCAAACCTGTTACCTCTTTCCACAGTACCCGTCTTCCTCTTAATGCTCTTTTCTCTGAGCATGAGCGAGATCTTTTGTCCATTACTGAATGTTCAAATCCAATGTTAAAGCAACATCCCACCATATCATTTAAATGCAGTCCTTATGTGTAGGCACTGCAACTATTTTTAGCAAAGACCAAAGGACACCAAGATGCAAAGAAACAGAGAGCTGCAGGTTTAATAAGGTTAAACATGTTTAACTACAAGCCTGATGATTCATAAAACACACGCTTTTCCGGAGCAGATATATGTAAATTATTTTAAGGTAAAAAAAAAAAACAACTATTTTTAAATCATTATCACACGTGTGTTCAGTTATTATAGTACCTTGTGAACCGACATCACAAAAAAACCTTGGAGAAAAGGTACAGGGGGGTTCTAACCTTGCTTTGATTATCCTGTTCATTATATCAACTGGAACAGGAAAGCGATCTCCTATGGGTATCAGTCACCACACTTGTTTTAATCCACCCCCTTTGATTTCCCAAGTAGCTCAGATTAAAGGTAGACCTTCTTTTCCATCTGATGTGATGCCTCGCTGCAGAGCTCTGAGAAGAAGCAAGAAACACAAAGCCCATTGTCTGCCAGGGCTGTGCTAACCAGCTGACCCACATCCCGGGTACAGTGCCAGCCTGTTCAGTGGTAGAAAACAAAGCTTCCTATCAGTCACCTGAAAAATGAAACAACTGACAGCACTGGGGGGCCGAAATAGACGCGGGTTAAAAACGAACACTGTGAGAGCTGCTCTGGCCGTGCAAACACACAGATGCACACATATATATTTGCAAAGAAGCAAATAATACGCAACAGTTGTGAGCCAATTGCATGCAAGTACTCTCTCTACTGCATTACGGACATTGGTCTTGTTGAATCTGTGGGACTCCGACGCTCAAGTCCCTTTCAAGATCACTTTTACCAGTCTTGCATATCCCAGTGAGAAAAAACAATACTTCATGCTCCTGTTGGCTCACACGTGATACATTGGTCCTTCAGAGTCAGACATAATTATCGCATGGTGCACAACGGTGAACATGTTTTAAACATATGTTTTACATGGTACAATCAATCACGATGCACCTAAGAATGCTAATAGTTGGTATACAGTAACAATACACCCTCAAGCTTGTGCAGTAGTGAGATAATGTGTTTCCCAGGTCATTGGAGGCACTAATTTCACCTTCTGCTTCATGATATTTCCAAGGAGCCTGTTATCTCAAGGTAACACATGTCTGCTGGTACCTGACTGTTTAATTATTGTACACAAAATTCCAAATCAGAATAACTGTCACCTCAAGACACCGCTTTTCACTGCAGGGTCTTCCCAAAGTAAGTGAGGAAATGCAAGTTATGCAGCAAATAGAATGACCTTGGTAGAGATTTCTTCCCCAAAATGATGGCATCTCACAACATTCAAGCACGACCTGAAGGAGAAAATAATACAAATGCTGTTAATTACATTTCCGGTACAAAAATGCACAATGGTTTGCAGTTTGTTTTTCATGTGGAATTTCTTTATGCAAAAGGTGTTTTGTTGGAAGCACGCACACCAGGATCCCTCAAAATATTTTCCTGAGGCCATTTCTTAGCAGCAGTGGATGTTTTAGTCTTTCTTAGTGACAGCCTTCTACTTTATGTAAACACACACACACACACTGTTTGGAGCAAGGCTTTTACATTTGGGATGGATGGGTTACACAGTCTCCAACTCAGTGGAATACTTACATGAGGTGGAGCAGCCGAACCAGGAGTGGGAAGGACCCTCTCCTGTGTGAGGTGGAAGCACTGAGTAGAGGGTACTAAGCTTAAGGGTATGGGTGACCCAGTCCCAAGTCTCCAATAGGAGCAGCACACACAGACTAGAGTTTGCACCTGAAACTTCTCTCTGTGGCTTGAACATTTGAAATACCGAGCATCTGCAGCAGAGGTCTTGCTACATAGAGCTAATGGGTTTTACTTTTCTTTCAGGAGAAACCCGATCTCAGAGTTGGGATGCATTTTCTCATACAGCTCAGCCTCATAACCAAAACCATTCCCTACAAGCAATGGGATCTCTGATCAGTTGCCATTTTCTGTCACTCTATATCCCTGAAAAAGAAGCAAAGACTGATCCCTTACATATTCACAGGCTTCCAAGTAACTTAAAAAAAAAAACCTATCAGTCATATCTGATTTTCATTGTTATTTTTTAAACACTCAAATATTTTGATGGTAGAAACACTTAAGTATCCAGGCATATTTATTTACTATAAATAAGGAACTTTGGGGCAAATGAGGAATTTAGGGAAACATAAGGTTTCATGTGATCTCTGTGCTGTTCTGAACTATGGCTGCACCACCAGTTCTATTCTGACTCCTAGAGCAATTGGCCTTGACTTGTCATGGGATTAAAATCCGCCACTCAAATCACTTGCTATCTGGGATGGCAATTCATCATCCAAGTTACTTGATACACAACATACCAGACAATATCTTACCACAAATCACTAACAAGAAGATGTGGAATAATACAAAAAACAGAGCATTAAAGGATCAATAAAGGTGATTAAGTGCAGTCGCCCACCCAACAGTAGGATCATTAATACCTAAACCCAATCCTGAGAGACGTCTGCACAATCCATTCTTTTACATAACTGAAACTGCCTTAGCATAAATGGCTTGAGACACATAAGCCCTACGAATGGAGTATTTATGAACACATGCAACTTGAATTCTGGTTTTGTTCCTACTTGAACATTATCTTTCAAGACATCTAAAGCAATCAGGACTTCTCTAAGAATTGCTTTTCTGTTTAATCATTCATTGGTTTGTTGTTGGCCTTTACATATGTAACTAGAAGGCATTTTATGAGGATACCAAGCTCTACAAACTCAAACTGGAATTTATCTACATTAGCTATTAAATCAACATAAAAGAGATAGATTTTCTTCTGGAAATGAATGCTTCTGAGGTCCTCACATCTATGCTACAGGTGTTTCGCTCTGGCCTATGGTCAGTCAGATCACCTAACTGAACATCCCCACTATGCTCATGGTTCAGTTAGCTCAAAAGAAAGTTATCGGTTCAGTCACGTTCTCCTCTCCAGCAAAAACCTGGAACAGTTTATTTTCCCTTTAAAGGAATCTAGTTTGCATGCACTAAAACTGCAGTGAACCACCTTGAGATACATAGAGATGATCAAGGTGCGGACTGTGAGCCCCTGTTCATACTAGAACTGCACTGCTCCTCCATCCTCAAGGGCAGGAGTGCCTTCACCCTGCGTTTGCCACCAGCAGTCTTTCTGTCACGCTGGGGAGCAAGCAGAAAAATGCTGAAAGTATCAAATACCACAATGAAGGTGATCAATGGCTGTTCAGGATCTTGCAACAGACTCCTTTGGGAATTAGCCACTTGAGAAGCAGTCCACTTACAGTGAAGCGAGAGGCTGCTTGCAGGCACACTCTCACACACAATATCGAGAAGCACAAAACCTCATACTTTTATTTTCTGAGTGGATATATTTTGTCTTTAAAACGTGTGGCCACAAGTTTTACCCACCTAAGATTTTCCCGTGTCGCATTCCATTGTCCTCTTTCTCAGCTGCAAGAAAAGAGAAAAATTATGAACTCTTTCACAAAGGATACAGCTTTATTTTACTTGGGATGAAAATTAAGGATGCCCTGACTGGCAGCATGTGGTTTCTATTTCTGTCTATAAGCAGCCTTACAATAGTAGGTCAAAAGGATTAGAGGAAGGGCAGTGTTACTGTTTCTAGAGGAAACCAGCAATTGTAGATTCACTTCAATGTTCTTGCTTTCCAAAGAAAGTGGAAATCTTATATGACAGGGTTTTTCAAACACCTGCTCTTTCCCTTTTTCCTTTGGTAATTGAAGTAAAGAGTTGTGGGCTTATTTACCTCTCCTTTTTTCACTTTCATTCATTACATGATAAGTATTATATAGAGAGTAAAAAGTTGATTCGTTGTCTGATACAGGTCCTTTTCATTTTTGAGGTTATGAAGCAAAGAAGCAACAATATCAGTACAACCCACACACTATTTAAGGCAAAAAACACACAGAGGAGCTAAATCAGCTCTGAGCAACACCACAAATACTGTAAAAGAATGAAATGTTCTCTGCAGTTTCATCTTTTCATTTTCCATTCTCTCACAACAGTCTGATCTTGCTGTTCGCTAACATCACAGGGGGAAAAGCAAACTAACTGCTCAATTCACATGGTTTACGTTGGTTTATCGATTTATTAACAACTTGCAAATAACTGCCAATCTCTCTCTGACCTATATGTTCAGGACCAATAACAGTGATACCGCAGCTGAATCACTATGCTGGGCACTTATAAAATGGTAATAGGTGCTCACAAATGTCCAGGCTTCATTCTGCTTTGTCACTCCTTTTCTAGCCAAGCCTTTCATCTAAAGTTTCCCTGCAGTTCCTTAGTTATTATTTAACCCAACCAAGGGTGTCCTCCTCTTTAGCATGATGGGTGTTTGTGGCATCCACACACAACTGACACCTCCCTCTCTTATCAGCTGTTATCCAGGCTATTTTGGAAGAAGTAGGGCTGTATATGCGCCCTTCCTGTCTAGCCATCTCACGGTGGAGAAACTGCATCCTGTACATAGCACTGCAACGGGTGCAGCACAAACGGGGTACATGTGAATTTTCCTGAATTGCACAGTGTGAGACTCAATTAGGAACTATTTCTTCTTCCAAAAACATAAATTAAAATAAAAAATAAAATAAAATTGCAGTGCTCCAATTGCTTTTAATGGCTGAAAAATCGTGTTCCCTTGAGTGTGAAGATAAGCTGAGAGTATTTTTAATTAAAACTCACTCTTCCTCATCTTTATCCCAAAAGTTTGTTTCATGTTAAAAGCCAATCTTCCTGCTGTTCCTGACACTCCAAATATGTCCTCCAGACTACACATTTGCTCTCCTTCATAAGGAGGCTAGATTGCACACGCCTCTTGTAAAATGGGAGTTGTGCATTACCAGACACAGCCTAAATTCAACCACAGGAACACAGCTGTAGCAAACCAACCTGCAAAATGACAGCATTGCTCTGCGACATGAAGTGGTATTCTCTCAGAAAATGCATGCTCCACACTTCATATTGATGCAACTAAAAAGGCATAGAGCAATGAGCTGCATGCTGGCCTTCCAGCTTGCCTTCCTAGGGTTGAAGTTAGGGATGACTTCTGCAGTGTCAGCAGCAAAGATGCTAACGCAGCTTATCCATGGGGATGGCACCACAGGGAGAAGGCAAGGAGATACTGCCAAGTACATTAGTTATCGATGTGACCAGTCTGCGACTCAGCTCTCTCTGACTGATAGGCAGCTCAGGTGAATCTGCTGTGCTGGGTGGGTGAGCCCACATATCAGTGCTGCAGCACCTCTGTGCATGTGGGCTGCTGATGCCGTCGAGGCTATGGGTCTGGGCATTACGCCTTGCCACCAATGCGGCTCTACTCTTTAGCCTGCTCATGAGTACAGCCTCTAACTTCCAGTGCACCCAAAAGTATCAGATACATGACCTCTAGTTCTTGGCCCTGGGATGATTTTAACCAGGAAATGAAGATTTGCAGAAAAGAAGGGTGAGTACTGCCAGGGAAATTAAAGAGAAAATGAGAGTGGAAATGAACCTTTAGATGGATACCTGATAGCTATGCAAAACACATGAAGAACCAGGTCTTGTCCAGCAGCTTCACTGAACTTACTCAGTTACCCCAAAAGGCCAGGAATCTCATTGACCAAAACTAAACCAAGACTGCTTCCAGCTATCAATTGGCCAGAGGAAGCAGGTGGAAACTGGTGCTAACAAATAAATACAGGCCTGCGCCAACCACAAAGCTACGCTTCCAAAGGCAGCCTGCAAAGCATTGGGATGCTCTGCCCCTCAGCAAAAGCTTTCACAGAGCTACCACACCTTGTTTCCCTACAGATCCCAGGGATGCATTTTACCGTGATGACAGCAGTGGCAACAAAACCAAACAAAAATGAGCCAAAGCCTTGAGAATATGTAGAAATCACTTGTCATTGCCTCTAATGGCAATGTTTGGTATGTAAATAACTTACTTTCGTAAGGGTTTTACACGAAAGTAACTGAAGAGGCAAAACGCAGTCTAAAAAGAACCAGCTGAAGCCTACACGAAGGTCTGTGCAATTAAGCAACACACTTAAACGTGGTGAACTGAGCTTGTTTTGTTTGTCTTTTCCTCAGTCTGTGTTTATACCATGGGATTTTTGGAGGCGACGGAGGTACTAAGGCACCGGGGAGATAACTTTGACTGGTTTTCACCCTCTTCCATTTTTATCACAGGTTTTGTTTAGATGAGGCTTTGTTTAGGTTGGTTGGCTTTTTAATTCTTATTTTACCACAGTCTTGTTTATGCCACAATTTTCATGATTGTGCCCTGAACTCATCG